AGGTCGTTAGCTATCCATCCTTTAAAAAGTGTCAGCAATTTTCAGTGAACGCACGTATTCCTGTCGAGTTTTACTGGAATTATACCGTGTAAGGTCGTCTGGACTTCAATGTATCAAGAAACGAGTAAGTGTAGTAATCCTACCTTAACAAAAACGGGAAGGATGGGTCACGTGGTAGACAGTCGGCACAACCTGCTGTTAGGATTGATGGTGATTGATTTCCTAATGAATTTACCGTTTTCTTCTATAAAGCCTAATCAGGTTAAAGCTTTGGAAGTTTTTAGTCTTATCGTCTGGCTTGACTTTGTCTTCTTCCGACTTGGGGACAGTTTAAACAACAAATAAATGAAAATTTCCGGCAAACGGTCGATCTGTTTTTGCGGCTTTGGATCCAGGTTTTAACAAAGCCATTGAACAGAATCCTTGCATTTTCACCTGAATGCTAAATGTCACTCGACCACTATTAATTTTGTCCCATTATTGTATCTAGTGTTCGTTTCTCTTCATTCTTTTTTGTTCTTGTTTGGTGAGAGTAGTTGTTCAATTTTATTTCGTTCAAATTTGTTCATGACCGAACTCAATCAAGCCCAATCGTTTGGTTAATTTTGATTGAGTTCTTTTAAGTTTGATTAGTGACCAGTTCCAGTACTTATATCAAGATTTAGAACAAAGCCAACGTAATCACTCTAACCAATCACAAAGGACACAGGCAATCTAATGAACCAATCAAAACTTGAAACAGATACACGTAGCTGATGCGAAGCGCGGGAAAACGTGTACGAAAGAGTCAAGTGGTTTTGGTTTTACTTGTTTTACTTCTAGATTGGTTTTTATTTGGGTGTCGAAAAGTAATTTGTATTGCATCAGCTACGCTTCACGGTTGGCTTAAAAACTCGCGCCCCTTTTTCATCCAATCGTGTTTAGCGTAAAATTTGCGTCACCTACATGTAATGACTTCGAGTTTTGATTGGTTCCGTATATTGTCTGTGTCCTTTGTGATTCGATGGAGTGATTACTTTGATTTTAGTTTAACGACACACAGTTTGAAATCGCTCCAGGCGGCATAATGCAAGAACAGTTACTTTTGGAAACTCAAGTGAAAACCGCTTTTAAATGTCAATTGATATAAAGGATAATTATGTAACTTTGAAAGTTTTCATGCTCACCTACAAGTGGGTTGCTTTCGTCCTCGAAGATTTCTCTCAGCAACTTGATTAAAAGATCCGGCGGAGTTAATCTTCTCACTTGAATAAACTCGATTATGCATAGAATCATAATAAAGACTTCAATGGCAATGATGGCAATGTTGGAAATTGATTTCTCCCTGTAATGCTGATCATGGCAATGCAGATCAGTTTCTGTCTGGTTGAAAGGAGTCGGTGTTGCGACAGCTGCCACTGAACACTTGTACGTCTTAGGGACAATAAGAGTCTGGATGCCACAGAAGATTCCTACGATGACAGCGGTAAATATCAGTCGACAAAATACATGTAGAAGGTAAGCCCTCTTGAAACTGTCCTCTTTCTCGGATTGATCTATCTGCTCCTTTCGACCGCGTTCGATTTGCCGAAGAGTGAAAGCACCGTAAAGCATGAAGGATATCGAGAAGACAAATAAAACGACATAGGCCAAAACCACAAAATACAGGGGCGCAAACCATGGATTCATTGCAGAAGAGTACTCGTCATAGCAGAGTTGTTTGTTGATAGGACTGGTTTCGGGCTCACAAGTGAATGTCTCTCTGTTGTAAGTGCTTTTAAGAAAAGCAATTAATGTTATTCCAAAGATTACGACCAAAATAAGTTGAATGCCGCCGAGCCATGTTTGTGATCGAAGCCCCAGTCTAATTAGCGATTCATCCATTGTACAAATGCAACCTCTTCAGATCTAGAATTCAAATTAAAAGGATATATAAGTATACTGAAATAAAAAAGGGTTAAAACTAAAACAAAACCCGATCTGATTTCTGCAAAACAGCAGAGGCATGCACTATTGGAAATTCTGTTACTAAGAAAGCAGCTGCAGACCTATTATTGTCAACACGCGTTAAATTGGCTCAATGAGTAGCCGTTTTACGATCCACTTACGCGTAAAGATTGTTCAATTATTGATAACAGAATTTCGCCTCATACGAGCGAACTTCCGGTGCTTGTTGCAACGAAAAAATTTCCGAATAGGGAAATTGAGAACTGACAAGACATAAAATGAAGTATCATTAGTATAAACACTGACCTTAAAAATCGCTAAAATATTCAATTGCTATCCGAGGCCTGATACTATGTTGCACAGGCGTAAAAATTTACTTCAGTCCATTATGGTTCGAGTTTCATCTCAAGTTTACCTGCTGTTTCTGCACCCCTTCGTTTATGTTACACATTTTGCGCACAGAAATCCAGGCCAGCGAAGTGAAACTATATACATTTCCTCCTTTGATTTATTCAGCAGAAACTGAAAGCAGCGGTGGTTTTGGTCGAAGAGAAGAGGGTACACAACACGCAGCCAAACTACAGCTTTCTGTTCGTACGAAAAGTTGTGGAGACAAGAAGTGTCCAGCGCGTGACCGAGCTTGCAGAATGTGCGGTGTTATTGGCCATTTCAAAGTTAAATGTCCCCGGGCTCGTCAGCGCGGTGGTGGTGACTCCGGATCCAGAGGGGATAAAGGCAGCAAAGGTGCTGATGGTGGAAGGAGGAATACTGGGAGTAGATGAGGTGACGGTAGAGGAAGACGTGGTCGTGGTTTTGGAAGGTCGCAACAAACAAACCTTGTGGCTGACGGTAATCACAGCCCGAAAGGGTACCTTTTTCAGGCTTCAGGTATATAAAAGGGTAGGAATTTCACAAGTTGAGGCGTATAAAAGGGTAGGGAAATCGGTCATTTAGGTATTTTAAAGGGCCTTCAATTAAAATACTTCGAATAGACGTTACAAGGGTTTAGAAAGGGGGAGCAGTGTTGTAAAGTAGGTATGTGGAAGAGGTACCTTTTTTCGATGAAAGGTATATAAAAGGGGTTCCTTTTCTGCTAAAATGGTACATAAAAGTGTAAGGGGTTGGACCACGGGGCACTCTCTTTCAACAAAGAGCACGAAAAAAAAAAAAAACTGCTTCCAAATAAAGCGCATCTGTGTGACCGGAAGTCGAATCGCGCAAGTCAATGACAACATGAACCTTCCCTGTTCTTTTAGCGTGGGAAGGTGATCAGTAAATTTTGACGAATTGACACGATTCGCAGGCAATTTGACACGAGGCAAATCAATCATTCAATCGATCAGGCTAATTTGAGCATTTGGTTGACAGAACGGAAAACATACGTTTTATATCGAGACGCTCCAGTCCTTGCTTGACTGACCAACAGGAGATAATTGCATGTTCCTGTTTATCAACTTTTGGAATAAAGTTTCCATATAACGCGCGCTCTGATTGGGTGAAACAGCGTGCTTAATCAGAGGACAGAGCACGGGTTGATGACGGTAAGCTGGCTTTCAAATTTTTGCTTCAGAATTTTGACAAATTTGACCCAAATGAAACATTCCCTGTAACTCAGACAAACGCAATGGAAACGAGCGATTTGTCTGCAGTAAATATCGCTCACGGAGACCATTTTGCTAGATTCCCGCCGACAAAACACGTAGCGAAATAAAGAAAATTATCAACCTAACCAGTGCTTCGATGAAAGACATTATATATGTTACGAAGGAAAAAATTAGACTTTTGAAGTAAAACAACGACAGAAAACAACAATTGGGCTGTCTCTTCACAGACAGACCACTCTATGTGTTCGTTGTTCATAATTGTTTATACGAAACCACAGGCGAACCACCCTATATGTTCGTGGCTGATAATTGTTGTCTATATGAAACGAACAGAATCTATGAGGGTTATGAATAAAGCTCTGAAAATTGCATATTACATATTGCATTATTACATCTCGGTCTGACTATCCCAATAAAGTTAAATGTGTGGTGTTTTTTCGCCTTCCTAGGCCGTCTGAAGCGTTTTCTTTTTTTTTACGAAATTACTTTTGGTCGGAAACCGGCAAGACAAGAGAGGGAGACAAGGCTTGCAACTTGGCGGCTATCTCTTCGCCGAATTTGAATTTCATCCCTCAAACATTTTCCGAGAAAATCGATGCTGAAATCACGAAAATAGCTATCTCAATATGATTGGTGACAAACTCAGCGACCAAAGGAATTCAAAAGGCATGCAGGCCGTTTCAAACTACCAATCAGCGCTTGCCATCGCTGTGGGCTGCCGTAGTGTGCCATTAATTTTAGTCAAAAGCGTGACGATCTTTCGATCAAATTTAGGACTTAATCGGAATTGTCGTCGAATCTATCTACTTCATCGGGCCATTCTCTGTTTCCAGTCCCTAATATCGTTGAAATTTGTCAAGCGTCGGGATACTAAAACCTCTGGGAGACTACACTATCCTTCATCTTGTCAGGTCATTTTAGAAATCTGGTAATCTACGAGCGCATGCAGCGTAGCCACTTTCTTGTTTGTTTTGATTTGAAGTTTGTCGTTTTCATTAGTCATTACAGCAAGTTACTAACCCAATCTCATAATCTTGAGAATGTAGTTTAGTAACAAACAAAAACTTTAAAAGTTTATTTTCCATCTACTAACAACTGATTAAAATTAAGTTACACTGACATTTGTCTAACTCGCTCATTTCGTAACTGTATGGGTTGACGCACGTACCTCTCAGTTAGATCAGAATAACTGACTGCTTTTAGCGTCTTCTTTCAAATTCGCTTTTACGATTCCTATAAGCAAAGTAAAATACAACGATGAGTATATGATAGCCTACGGGCTCACATCGAAGTTTCCTTGAAAACTCTACATCAAGAACAGCAATGGCTCGAACATATGATTTTACCGCAATGTTTAAGTGCAGTGGTTTTAATGAGCGCTCCGGTATCAAACTTGGAGCTACTGACCGAGCTATTACAAACTGCTACTAACCTTTTTGTGCAATATCCCACCAACAAGAGTTTAGGGATTGATATATGAGCTGTTACACAAGCCAAGGAATGAGCGACCCAAAGTGAGGTTTGATGACTGACAGAACGGAAAATATGCCTTTAGTTCTGTCACGACACACCTGCTGCATGATTGACCATCAGAAAATAATTGCTTGTTCCTGTTTACGTCTTAACAAGAAATTGTTTGGAATTGAACAGATCAAACTTTTCTCAACTTGTGAGAAAACACCAAGATAAATTTTGCGCTAATAGATTGGTATTGATAAGAACATTTGTATACTGGCGGATTGAAACAAGTCAAACAAGTCGATCAGTCGTTCAGGAATGGTTTTGACTTAGACGCGCCATTATACATACATACATACATACATACATACATACATACATACATACATACATACATACATACATACATACATACATACATACATACATACATACATA